CTTATTTGGTAGAAGTTACGATTAAGCTTAACATTTTCTAACTAAAGGATGTCGATGGAAAGACGCTCCTGGAATCTGAAAAGTTTAAAACCTTCGCAAGTATAATCATTAGGTGTTGATAGTACTGCTTGTCTTATGTCATGTACTTTTCATAAGTTGTTGTGTAGTCCCCATATGTATCTCTTCTGAGTTAACTATGACGTAACTCTAATATCCTTAAATCATACCAAGAAATTATTATTTTGTCTTACAAAATATAATAATACGTTATTCACTCTTTTTTAATATTGTCTTCTTAAAAAAATGACAATAAAAACTAACAACAAATTTATCATTTTTATCCATGATTCGAGAAATACATAATCTTCATTATATCTGAATCACTAGATGATTAATCCCAAGGAAATTTAATTTAACCTCTTCCATACAAATTAATGTAATCAAGCAATATTTTAACTACAACCTCAAATAGGTTAAACATCCTAGGAGGATGTCTCTCATATTTGTTCAAGCTAAATGAGTCCATTAAAATATTTCTTATCATCTTGATTGAAATGAAATTAAACAAATTGCTTATACATATAAAAAAGAAAAAATAAAATATCATCAACTTTTTGATATATCACTAAATATATCACATACATCATATGGCAATACCAACTCCTGATACAGACTATATTCACAAAAAAAAATGATATACCCAATAACAAACACTATAGAATCTCAACATCATCCTCAAAGGCAAAGACCTACAACTCACTCTCAATCTCATAACCATGAGAATCTGAAGAAGAATCGTTAGAATTCTAGATAATGGTTAACCCCTCAACTTTAGCTCCAGTCTTGCATTACACTAAGCTGACACTTTTCGAAAAACCTCAGATAAAATCTTCCTCCATACACTCCAGCTCTAAGGCATTCACCTCCACATCATATATGTGATCACGAGCTTCCTAAACATAATCCTTGAAGAGAATAAATTTCTTGAACTTCTATAACTTTGGGAGGTGATAGTTCTGATTTGAACTCAAACTTTCTCAAACAACAGACTATGAAATCTCTTCCTCTCATCTTTAAGGACTACTATCTTCTTCTCAAAGATTTGCTGATCTTTAACGTGTTGATTAAGTGTCTATTTGTATCCACGAACTCAATATGGGTGTGATCTATCTGTTCAAGTTGCCATAGTAACCAATTCTATTTAGCACCCAACTAGCTGCTCCTCTAGTGCATTCAACTCCTTGATCTTGTCATCATAAATCCACTTATACTCTCTTTGAGGATACTTAACCTTTACAAACTCGTTATTTTAGTAATTCAAGACTTTGGTTAATTTAATTTCAAGATTTATATGTTGCATCAACTTAAATAATAAAAATGAATTTGAAAGAAACGATTCTTATAAAAATATAAAAAGAAAAATAAAAAAGAAATAAGAAGTCACCAATTCGTCATCTCGTTGATGTCGAACACATTGATGTTTCAAAACGTCTTCTGAAATATATAACTTAGATAGAGATGAATTGTGATCTTTGTTGGTAACTATCAAAATTCCCTCCATTTTTTTTTTGATGATGCCTATGGATGACCATCATTCCCTAATTATTAAGGGGTGACATTCGATGTAAAGACAATTGCCTTCAGAACTTTGGCTGACCTCTTTAGCATATATGAATAAAACCTCCTTGCCTAAATAGATAGTCATACCTTGAAAAAATACTTCTCATCTATATATTTGCTCAAATAACATACCTCATAATAAAATGTATATATATCATAAAGATTGAGAATCTTTGTTATATTTTTTTGCTCCAATATGAATGGAAATGGATAAATCCTTCAGCTTTTCCCATTTTCTAATAGATCGTAATCATTATGCACAAAGAAGAATCCACTAGCCTAACTTTTTAACGGGCCTCAAGTGTGAATATCCAACCATTTGAATCTGAAAGTGATATGACTCTACATACACAAGTCGACCCATTCGAGGAAGGCACACTAGGGACAACACCGCATCATGATCTCTAAAAAATATAATCAATATCAATATAATCGACATGACTCTATAATAAAATTGGAATAAACTCACTCTACATGTCACTAAATATCAATCAACTCCATGGGAGGTAGAAATCATAGCTCTACTCGCAAATTGAACTAAAAAATAGTCAAAAATCCTAGAGGAGAATAGGCATGATCTAACTTCTCAGGCATCTTCATCAAAAAATCATTAAGAAAATGAAACTTCTTCCTAAAAATGGCTGGTTATGGTGGAGGCTAAATCGTTAACTCTAGCCACCTTGTGACTTTTCTTCATACTTTCATGTTGGGTAACAGGAAGATCACCTTTAGCATCGAGTGTTTTGGGGGAGGCATTATCACCCTTTTTGAGTGTTTACACTAAAGAGAGATGTATTGAATTTGGATTGAGGACATCATCTATAAAAATCAATGAAAAGCCTCTAAAATAAGAAGATAAATGAGAATGAAAAAAAGAAGAATGCTTAAAACACTAACTTCTATACAAGAGATGAACACATGTACTTGTTAGGCGATGTCACATATTAAAAAAGTGAAAGGCATCAACTGTAAGAAAGTTAAAGGGATAATGGAGAAAAGGAGAAGCATTTTTCGCTTGCCTAGGGATATTTATAAGAGAAAATTGAGAAAAAAAAAAAAGACTTCTCAAAATTTTTTGAAATATTTTAAATTTTTTTTGAAATTTTTTTTTAAAAAATATAACCTTAATATATATATATATATACTTATTTATTTATTTATTTATTTGTTTATTTATTTCAATTTAAAAAATATTAAAAATTAAGTGCGCCAACTTAAGCAAGAGGTCAAACGACACAAGCCTAAAAGCGCAGGCTACCGGGGTCAGTGGAGGGCAAGTGCACAGGAAGGTGCTTCACGCAAGAAGTAGGGCATGCGCACGGGCATATGGACAGTAAGGCAGGTGAGCTAACAAGCGGGCAGACTGGAAGTGACACACAAACAACAAGATAAGCACACGGTAAAGAGTACATTGCCGCGGACAGCAATGGCGACCGGACAACAGACTCATCATAGTTGATTTACAAGCCTATTTTTTGATTGGACTAGCTAATTCCAACATTTTTTAGGTCCTCAAAATCATTTTTCGACATTCTAAACCCAAATTTGATACTTTTAGAGCATATTAGGACATCTACACTCAAATTTGGATTATTCTGGTGTTTCAAATTACAACAAAAATTACCCATAAGCTACGATGTGCCTTTTCAGACTTCTGGAGCTTCAACGTCCAAAAAAAGGGGTAACGAATATATCATTATAAAATTATTTCAATTAGGCACAAATCATGAGGAAGGAACAAGTTAAAAACTTCCCAATTTAAATATGAGATCATCCGAACACTGATCTCATCAAACTGAACATCTCAAAAAGACAAACTCAACAGTGCCAAAGTCAACTTAATCAGAGCCTAAATGAGTCTGAACCGAAGACTCAAAGCATCTTTGGAAGGTTTAAACCATAAATTGGATGACGAAATGATTTCCAAACGTGACATGCTTAGCAGCTCAAAGAGACAGATCCAATAAGCCAAAGATCGTCAAATTTTGATAACATTAAGACATTTAAATGTTTAGTAAATTAACCACGATCAAAGGGATCAATATTAACCGTCCATTCAAACCACTCTCAACATACCCTTATTCTCCCTCCTATTTATTAGACATGACATTCACAAAAAATTATAAATAGGTCCCTCATTTTTTATTGAAAGAAAATCAAACAAGGAAGAGAAATGAGAGAAATTAGAATTCTCTTGCCACCAGACTCCTCAACCATCACCAGACCCTCGACTACCACTAGACTCCTCGACCACCAACAAACCACCAACTATCACAGGACTATCATCAGACTTCTACCGACCACAAACTAACACTGGATTTCTACCCGGCCATAAACTGATTCTGAATTTTTGCCCGACCATCGGACTTCAACTCGGCTCCCAACTGATGTCAAATTTATATCCGACTGTCGAACATCATCAGTTTTCATCCAATTCCTTTTCATTGCTAGATTTCAACCTGTTGGTTGACTATTATAATCTGATTGCACTCAAATTCGAGGATAAGTCAGTTATTTGCAATTTATTAAAATATTAATGGAACAATTTGGACTAGGTGTGGCCTCATGGATTTCTCTTTAGGGTTTTTCACGTAAAAATTTTTAATGTTTCTACTCATTCTATATGTGAGCTAAACTCGTGTAATGCTAAGCAACATAATTTTTTCTACTTTACCGTCGCGAATATTCTAGCCCACATCAAAATTAATTTTACAAAGAGTTAAATAAAAATTATGATCACATAAATTCTATATAGGACAAAAAAAAAATTAGTCATTTGAGAGATTTTGAGGGTTCAAAATGCATGTAAAAGTCACTTTGAATTGAATTAAATTGTAAATTTCGAAAGGTTAATTATTTTATTAAAACATATTTTATGCACAGCCAAAAAAGCCTAAATAAAGTAGGCTTTCGACATTTCACATGGCCATTAACCCTTTAGAGATGATAAATTATGAACAAATCGTATTATTCTGAAACGTTATATTTAATAAACCGCATATAGATAACAAAAGTTTGATGCTTTTAATTTAAGAGTTTTACTTTATATATATATATATATATATGTAAAAGTAATCTTCTGTGCTTTCAGGGTCAATAATAGCAATTCACGCGCGTTCTGCCACCTTGTATAGATGGAACGTGAGCAAACAAAAAATATAAAGAGGGAAAAACTAGAAAGGTAACAAACCCTTAGCTTTCTCTGCAATTCCTAAGGAAACAGGGAAGACACTTTAGAGGCCCGGGGACCATAGAACAGTCCAAAGATAAATTAAATAAAGCAATTGGTGACAGCAGCAGAATAAGCATATCAAGCCCGTACTGATTTAAAAGAGAGAGAGAGAGAGAGAGAGAGAGAGAGAGAGAGCTTAATTTCTTACTTGTCTTTTAGCAGTGGATAGAGAAGGATTGGGCCCTCAAAATCATGACGGGAGATAGTCTCAAACAGCAAGTCCTTGAACTCTGCAATCCCATACTTCGGAACAAACATATTAAGCCAAGGATGAGGCACTTGCCATTGTTCTTTCTCTCTAAGGATCATTTCCTCCATCCTCACTCTATTGAGAAAATCATAATAGGAAACTTCAGCACTATAGATGAATGAAGGAAGATATCTCAATTTAGCAGTTATTTCATCAACCACCTGGAAAACACACACAACAATCAATGAAACGGACGGTTTAACTTGTTTTAAAGTAACCGAGCTTGTGGAAATTACTTGTTCTATTTTGATTTCTTCATTCTTGTGGCTATGTACTGCAAACTCAATGCAGTAGTAAACTTTGGAACTGTCCTTTCGGAGTTCAGAGATGAATTCTAGTTGATTTGGGAAGGCCATGGAGGAGCTGTGAAGAGAGTTCTCATTAAGAACAATAAAACCTTCAACATAGTCCACCTTATCTGGCATTAAGATCAGAAGCTCTTGGTCCTTTATGAACGTTTGGAAATCATCGTAGAATAATCTAACCCATTTTACCTATGGCAATCAGAAATATTTTCTGAATTATTGAAGAAACATTTTAATTATGAGTTTAATCTGCTGGTATTAGCGATGTAAATATGTAATTCAATCTTACAACCGAACATTAATATTTGTAGTTAATGAGATGCTTAATAAATAATTTCTAAGAAGTTTTTTTTACTCGTGCCCACATCTGCCCAAAGCAGATAACATTAAATGAAATAAAGGCCTAGTAATTAAACCTGCTGCGGAGCATCTTGGAGCAAAATCCTTGCTCTTGTTATGATTCCAAACTGTCCCAATCCACCGAGAACCGCATAAAAAAGTTCTGCACTTTGAGTAGGTGAGCATGTTACAATCTCTCCCTTTCCTGTATAATATCAAAAATTATTAGTATTCAGCTTTACTTATTTAAATATTTATGATTCATAAATAAGAAATAAGTTGGTTTAAGTTTCTTGTTTACCGGTCACCACCTCAAGCTGGAGGACATTGGTGATCTGAGGGCCATATTTGAAGGTTTGGCCACTGATTCCAGCGTTTGAGAGAGTCCCCCCAATGCTGAGATAGAGATAATCAGTCCATGACCTTGGAGCCAAACCAAGCTTTAAGCTCTCCTCTAAAAGCTCAATCCATAAAGCCCCACCACTCACGTCAGCATAAGGGAATCCTTCTTCTCCATCCATAAGTTTGTGAATTTCTATTAACGAAGGAAGAGTGTCCATCTCAATGACAATGCCATCAGGTGCCTGAGCTTGACCATGGATGGAGTGACCAGCTCCTCTGGCTGCAACTGAGACCTTGGCAGAAGAAGAAGCTGACAGGAAGCTCAAGAGGACTGCAATGTCTCTTGATGACTTTGGCTTGAAAACAGCAGAAGGAATGTTGAAGATGAACCCCCCAAAATCTACTGAAGCAGTGCTTGTGCTTTCATGGAAATTTGAAGAGCCTCCAAAATCCATGCTTGTTGCTTTTATATAGTTCAGGGAGACGGTTTCAATGGGAATCCGTATGAACTTGCAGGGGTAAAAGAGGGTGAGAAAGATTAGCAGAGCATTAAATCTGGTGTAAAAGAAAGCAAATTCCATTCGAGATATAAGCAAAAGCTTTGGAAGCCAGATAAGTAAGCTGAAAAACCAAAGATATTGTAGTTTTCTCCACTTACGTTAAGGCCATGTGTGACAAGAGCAACATTGTAGAAAGAACGAAAACACAAATTCAACGAAGGGAATTTAGCTTTGTTTTCTTGTCTAAAATAGGTAATGATGGAGAGAAAGGTAACAGACTAATTACGACAGAAAAGAAGAAGCAAAGACAAGGAGACGATGAGAGGAAGGTCCAAAGGTCTCAAAAAAGAAGCGAGGAAGGAGATGGTTTCAGTATAAGACTAACTGCCTTACATACCAAAACATCTCAAGATATGCTTTTAATAAGCTATATCTTCTTCAAAAGCGAAATATAAACCCTTCTCAGCTAAAGTTCAGAGTAAAAAGGTAAAGATGCAGAGAGAGACAGGACAAGCACAGAACTCTGCTGTCAATACAAAGATCAAAAGGATAGATTGCGCTGCTTTCCCCCAAAAAAAATAGATCGCACTGCTTCTCTTAAGGAGTTGTTTTTACCTATAGATGGGTCTGCGCAGTGGGGTATTGGGATGATTTCAGGTCCTGGTATCGAATCTCATGGGGCCCTGCTTTCTACACAGCCCCAGAGCCCTTCACATGCCTCCACCTCTCTCTCTCTGTTCCCTGACTAGGTCTATCACTAAAGAAAGAAAAGATCTTCCTGTGACTCGTTATTTCCTTGTTCTCATCCATATAGCCATGGAAGCTGACATGCCATCCTGGACCTCTGACCCGCTCTAGGAGCTCTAATGGCATGGCACATTCCCCGTCGGCACAAGCTTGGCCGACTAAACTAAGGGCATCACCAACCAAAAATTTCATTTTTTTTCGCTCCAAAATATTATGAAACTAAAAAAATATCATCATTCATAACTTCATTTTGCCCCTTTGGCGTAGGTAAGGGTCGTTTTCTTCTTTTAGACGTTTCTTTGATAAATTCCGTAATAACAGAAAAATAGTATAGATGATCAGTGCAACATCAATATTGACATCATATTGTTCACCCACAACCAAAAAACTGAAATTTTACCGTTCGGCTGGAGCTCCCGAGCGACGTCAATCAAACATTTGGAGTTCGGTTGGAGATACACTAAGGATACAGGCTGGCTGTGCCAACCCATTCGGTCAGGTTTATATTGACCCAAATCTACCAAACAAATAGGGCCAAAATCTTTTGGATTTCTGCACTGCTACCATCTTGTTTTTATTGTGCCGTTGCTGGGTCCCCCCTTGCTTTTCAGAGATTGGATACCAACAGATTTTGTGGTCGGAATCGTTGAGATAGCTTCTTGTGCAAATGACAAGTGCCAACCTTTTTTCTTTGAGTGGACTCCTGAGATCGAAATAGCCTTCTGATTCTAATCATTATGCCTCTGTTCCCCTTTATTGATGTATAGAAATTTAGCGCGACATTTCTAAATAATCTAAATAATCATCATTATGTATAAATGTATTTCAATCAACTGATGTTAAATTTATAAATTATTATTCTTGTTCCGATGTTCTAGTTGAGCATTAGGGGAGATGTTGGGGTGATTAACTGAGAACCAGTTTTAGTTCTTGAGTTATTAAGAAAATATAATAAGAAATAAATCATTAATGCTTTGTGAATGTATTGGTGTGACAGAGCCCTAAAGAGATAATAAGAGTAATGCAATGCTATCTTATACATCATTAAAAATCAATTTGATATAATACGAATCTCGAAACATAATTGAATGGTATATTCCAATATTTAGATGCAAGGCCATCAAAACTCTTAACTTCAACAAACATATATTCAATCTGATTTCCTCAACGAAAAGAACCCAACAATTTCAAAAATGATCCAATTCGATTCAAAATTAGTCTAGGTCAAGAGATTCAAACATAGTCGGAGATTTTAGAATATTAATTAGAGTAGAAAATGATCTCCAAAATTGTCATCATGTTTATATACAAATCAAGCATCTGGATGAGATGAATCCGAAGAGCCCAAGATAACTTAATTCAAACAACTTTAAAGCACTTAAAAATTGAACGAATGCTCTATAATCAAGGGACTCAATAGGATTTTTTGATGTTATGTTCTCAATTTTCTCCTTAATTTTGAGGTTTGGTACCTTCAAAATTTTATAAATTGCCCTCACACTCTACATGAGGAGCACTCTTTGTTAGAGATTTAAGAGAGAGCTCAAACATTATAAAATCCCAGAGCATCACCATCATTTAATAACCACTCAACTGATGTCGTCATTCTACTACTCAAACAACATCATTTGACCATTTTCACTCGACGTAATCAGTCCAACCTTCATCGCTCAACTAGTGATGTCAAACCTTTTGCTGCTTAACCACCACCGTCAGATCACCAACTTACCGATGCTAATGGACCACTCCTCAATTACAACCTTTAGATCACCACCTGACAATCACCATCATACCTTTATTATTATACCGTTATTTTTTTTACCATCGTTGCTTGATTATCACTATTAGATCATTGCCACCCAACTGCATCTATTAGAAGACTACTTGACAACTACTATCAATCACTGTTATCAAACTTTTATAACTCTCTTATTTTCATCTGTGATACCTCCAGGTTCAGTATTTGGTTCTATCTATTCTAACCCAAATTGAAAAAGATAAATATTTAAAATTTCATGTTTTGACCCCATTTAAATGTATTTGAAAGTGTTTTGGTGTATAAAAAAGGTTTGCAAGTGTTTTGAAATGAGTCTTAGTGGATTGGAATGTATTTTAGCGAATTCTAAAACTTTACACCCAAAAGCACTTAGGTGTTGGGTGTCCAAGCATTGTGGTGTTGTAGTAGTGAAGCTATTAAAGTCTTTTAATTTTCTTAGAAATTTTTTTGAATGATATCACTACACTTTTTAGTTAAAGTTATAATTTCAAACTCTCCTAAATTCATTTTCTTATTCAAAATATATTACATTAATTTAGCATAGGTGGGCTTATTCTCTAGGACTTTAGAGTAATGTATATTTATGATTAACTTTTTAAATAGTTCTAAGAACCTAGTGAATTTCTTATCAAAATTCTATTTGATCATCCTCTGAGGAAAGGGCGGTGGTGGTCTCTTTATAATGTTCCTAATTGGCCTCTCAATTTCTTTGATGGGTTTAGGTTGTTTAGTAAGGGGTTCAGCCTCTAAAGGTTCTTCTACATCACTATCCTATTGAGGTTGATCTCTATCCTTATAAGGGTCTCCTAAATCTCTTTTACTTTAAAGCTGAATATTACTGTATTTATCTTCCAATTTTGGATTATTTATCAATCTAGTAAGATGCCCTTGATCCTACTGTTGAATCCCAAATTATAGTACTACCTCTTCTAATGGTGTATTCATATTCTCAAACTGATTATTTTGTTCAAATCCTGAGGTGCAAATGTGAAACCCCTTAAGTAAAAGAAGTCAAACTCATAAACAGAAATGCACCTTTCAGTGTAATGGTTGGAATTTCATTATGAAACTTTGTACTTAAGAGTGCTTATCCTAAAGAAATTCTCGAATATGTAATCTCTTGGGAAGTCACTCCCTAGACAAAATCATGAGGCCCTTAGGCCAAAGAGGATAATATCTTGATAGTTAAGAGTTTAGGCTATTACAAAGGTATCACAAAAATACACAAGTCATAATATAAGTGTCATATAAGATAAAGTGTTACACCATATTAGCTACCTCTTAAACCCTATATGGGATAAAGTGCTACATTGTGGAAGTCACCACTTGAAGTTGTAGAGGCCACCTCTAGAATCATATCTATCTAGTGGATGATTTTGGCATAAGGATGCTGATGAGAATGTAAAATATTTAAGTACGACATATTATGAAACCCTATAAGTAAAAAAAAAAAAACTAAACTCTTAAACATTGAGGCCTATTTTGATGTAATAGTTAGAATTTTATTAAGAAATTTCGTAGTTAGGCATGCTAACTCTGATGAAATCCTTGGATGGGTGACATCCTATGAAGTTACACCAATAGAAAAAAATCATGAGGTCCTTAGGCCAAAGCGGATACTATCTCAATAGTTAAGAGTTTTAGCTATTATAATAATGTTGTAGTGCTTATGAGTCTAGGATTAATTACATGATTAAAGTTATAATTTTCTCTATATTATCTTATTATAACTCCCATAGTATCCTACTTCTTAGAAATTATGACTACTTGAGCAATAAGATTAATAAAGCATCTAATTCATAAACTTCAACCACCTTATTAAGATTCACCCTATCAATAGGCCACTGAAAATTATTTGAAGCAATTTTCTTCATTAATTCATATTCTTTCTCAAATGACTTATACATTAAAGATCCTTTAGCTACACCATCTATGATTGATCTAATGGATCCTACCAATCCATTATAAAAAGTCTTAATAACTAATCAACCAAGTAAAGCGTAGTGAGGGCATTTCCTAAGCATTTTCTTGAATCTCTCCCAACTTTTATAAATTAATTATGTCACAAACTTGGCAAAATATGTGATATAACTCCTAAGTGTGATAGTTTTTAAGGTGAAAAATATTTAGCTAAAAATTTATGTGTCAACTCATTTTAAATGGTTATAGAGCCTGGGAATAAAGAATTAAATCATATCTAAGCTTTCTCCCTTAGAGAAAATGAAAATAATTTATGTCTAATAGCATCATCACTAGCACTATTATACTTAATTGTTCTATAAATTTTTAAGAAACTAGCAAAGTGTGAGTTGGGATCTTCGACAAGAGTTCACCCAAATTGGGAATTTTGAATCATTTGAATTATGGTAGGTTTTAGTTCAAAGTTAGTGGCTGGAATAATAAGTCTACTGATACTCTGATAAATTCTTTCTACTATGGGTTTAACTTATTCTCTAACAGGCCTATAATGGTCTTGGTCTATCACTAAATCAAACATCTCTAAATGATTTTTTTATTTTTATAAGGTCCTTTCTTTTTCTAGGTCAAATATTGAGGGCTCTTTTCTAATTCTACTAAACATGTAATAATGAATGAAAATTAAAAAATGGCACAATAAAATGAATTAGAAAAAAAATTAGAAATGAGGCTTATAAAAATGCCAAGATTTACAAAGATAAAATTAAAAAATGGCACAATCGTAAGCTTCATAAGAAAGAATTTACTTCTATATAAGATATTTTTCTCTTTAATTCTAGATTAAAATTATTTCCCAAAAAAATAAAGATTTAGGTGGTCAAGATCATTCACTATTATGAAAGTATTCCCTTATTTAGCAGTTGAAATTCAAGATAAGAAGAGTGTGTATTTTTAAAGTCTATAGTCATAGACAAAAGACTTATTTAGGAGGGAACATAAATCATCAAGTAATATAATTGAATTGGATCATCCTTAAAAAGAATAATTGGTATAATTTGGCATAAAACTATAAACTTGTTGATGGTGGGAGGCAACCTAATTGTGGGTGTTTTGAAGATCTTTTCAATTATATAGTTTATTTCTTATGTGTTATGTTATTTTTTATCATTATTATATGTTTAGCATGCTTGTTTACTAATAGTTTACATTATTTTGTTATGTTTTTCACATTTAATTCAAATTCTTGATTTTGATTAAATTATTATCACCACAGGAAAGTCATCAATATATGGCAGATTTGCGGTGGACTTTATGGCAATATTTTTTCTTTAAAATTGTGATAATTTTGAGATTGAATTTTGCATCATATTTTTTGTGATGGATTTGTGGCAGATTAAAAAATTTGTCAAAAATCCATCATAAAT